TAATATATTTCATAATGTATTCTATAACTTACAATGACTCGTAAAATATTATTATTCAAAGTCAAGAATAGTGACATTGTTGAAAGTTAATATTTATGATATTAATCATGTTGTTGATTTATTTTTGTAAATTTTATTGTTGATACAAATATATTTAAATTGAGAATTGACTTATAAATTTATTTACATTGTGCAACGATAATTGATATTGAAAATGTTTGTTAATTTATGATTTAATATTTCTAAGATAGACGAGAAACCAATGAAGAAAATATATCTAATATTTTTGTATGGATATATATTGATCATTTTGGATGCAAAGTCAAGGAAAGCAAAATTATGTGGTATTGGAAGCAATAGGAGTTTTGCTAATATAAAAAATTATTTCAAGTCTCCAACGGGTACTTACGATACAATAAATATTAAAAGTCAAGTAAATATTTTGAATGTCGATTATTACGGTTTCTTTGATTAGTACTCCATATATTTGAAATTCACTTTTGATGATGAAAGCATTTGATACTTGTATTTACAAGTAATTTTTATGTATACTCCCACATAAAAAAGCCATATAATTTTTAGCTCCACGTTTAGGTAAAAATGATACTATTTTATTTAGATTTTAAAGACCTATAAATAGTGCAAATTTATTAAAACATGGTAAGATAACTAAACTTGTAGTTTTGAAACAATGTGCAATATAGTTCAGTGTAGTTGCCCAAGATCCAACCTTATTTGGATGGTTTAATGTATTATAACATTGCATTTATATATTAATAAAAAAATCTTTTTATTAAAACTTGTTATTTATAATTTGATAAAATTAGATAGGAGTCCATATAATATGTATAAAATTTTTATATATTAATAAAAAAAATTTCTATTAATTCTTGTTATTTATAATTTGATAGAATTAGATAGAAGTCCATAAATTTTATGCCATAAAAGTTTCTTTGGTTATTACTCCATATATTTGAAATTCACTTTTGATGATGAAAGCATTTGATAATTGTATTTACAAGTAATTTTTATGTATATTCCCACTTCAAAAGCCATATAAGTTTTAGATACTATTTTATTTAGAGTTTAAAGTCCTATAAATAGTGCAAATTTATCAAGACATGGTAAGATAACCGAACTTATTGTATTTTTGAAACAATGTGCAACATAGTTTAGTGTAATTGTCAAAGATCCAACCTTATTTAGATGGTTTGATGTATTATAACATTGCATTTATATATTAATAAAAAAATCTTTGTATTAATTCTTGTTATTTATAATTAGATAGAAGTCCATATAATATGCATTACATTAATGATTGATCAAAAGATGTGAGACAAACATCAATGCGTTTAAATGATATCATTAAATGTCTCAAGTCGTAGCAAGAATGGACATTGATTATATACGATAAGACTTGTGAGTGTTATACTCTTATTATACGATAGCAGTAAAAGATCTTACACTTATTGGCATTGTGATGTCAAAGCAAGCACTTAGGTTATTAATGTTAGAGAACATAACTCATTATGAGAACTCATCTGATTTAGTCTATAGGAATCTCATATGAGATGAGTGCTATTGGTCTTTTTACTTAAAGTCATCACCGTTATCTCATTAAATAATTTATATGCTTTGATACTCATTTTGATGGACTCGGTTAAGAGCTACACATGGATGATTTGTTGGGTGCACTAGAAATCTAATGGAGATATATGGATGATTGAAATAGGACATGTCATTTCTTATATGTTAAAGGAGTTTTCACATTATACTTCGATGAATACCTATTCGAGAAATCTGTGAGCATAGTGAAAGTATACCAATAGAGTAACATAGTTTTGAAACAATGATTGATCAAAATAATGTGCAACATAGTTTAGTGTAGGTGTCCAAAATCTAATCTTATTTGAATGGTTTGATGTATTATAAAATTGCATTTATATATTAATAAAAAAAATATTTCTATTAATTCTTGTTATTTATAATTTGATAGAATTAGATAGAAGTCCATATAATATGCATTGCTTTAATGATTGATCGAAAGATGTGAGACAAATATCAATGCATTTAAATGATATCATTAAATGTCCCAAGTCGTAGCAAGAATGGACATTGATTATATACTATAGGACTTGTGAGTGTTATACTCTTATTATAAGATAGTAGTAAAAGATCTCACACGAGTAAAAGATCTCACACTTATTGGCATTGTAATATCAAAGCAAGCACTTAGGTTATTAATGTTAGAGAACATATCATTGAACGTAACTCATTATGAGAACTCATTTGATTTAATTTATGAGAATCTCATATGAGATGAGTGCAATTGGTCTTTTTACTTGAAGTCATCACCGTTATCTCATTAGAGAATTTATATATTTTGACACTCATTTCGATGGACTTGATCAAGAGCTACACATGAATGATTCATTGGGTGCATTAGGAATCTAATGGAGATATGTGGATGATCGAAATAGGATATGTCATTTCTTATATACTAAAGGATTTTTCACATTGTACTTCAATGAATGCCTATTTGAGGAATGCGTGGGTATAGTGAAAGTATACCAATAGAGCATAATTGGTTTACTCTAGAGCTAAGATATTTAGAGATCGAAGAAAACTTATGTGATCCTAATCGAATAAAGTATAAACCAAGTTCAAGATCACATTATGATAAATTGATATGAGGACTCGAATTGTATGATAATCATGCTCGTGAAAGGTAATTAGGGATTAATTAATCCTCTAAGAAAATTGGGTAGTCAAGATACCTTACTAGATGTTAATCTTGATTTATGTATCAAGAGATAAAAGAGATGTTTTTTATTCTTGATACATTGTCAACATATCTAAGAGCCCATTGAGTCATATGTATAAGTTTAAACATTCACATAATAAAAGAGAATCAAAGATTTTGGAAAAAAGTTTTTTATTTTAAGAGTTTTCTATTTTGAAAAAAAGTTTTCGAAAATGAAAATTTTTCAGCTTTTGAAAAAAGTTTCCTAAAATAGAAATTTTCTTATTTTAGAAATCAATTTTTCAATTTGGAAGTCGGTTCCAAATTTAGAAGACGATTACCTAAAAAGAAAATTAGTTTCTTAATTTAGGTTTAAGGGTAATTTAAAAAATTATTTCCTAATGTGAGCCTCCTAAAAATATCAAACCCAATTTATTAGGATAGTCCAAATCCAAATGAATTGGGTCAAAAGAGTTGGGCTAATAAGCTTAATTTAAAAATCAGTAAGATATTTTGGTGGAAGGACAAACTTGAACACTATTGGATAAGGCTCAAGATTTACAAGGATAAGGTTAGACAAAGCCCACATAGATAACATCTCCTTGACCTACAAGGAGAAGTTGACATCTCCTATATATAAGAGGGATGAGAGAGGTGACAATAAGTGAGAGCAAGGAAAAGAAAAACACATGGCATAAGAAAAAATAAACAAAGAGAAAATGTTTCTCTCCTAAAAAATAAAAGAAGAGTTGTCGCATCTTAAAAAAAATCGATCCCATACCCGTGATCGAGGAGTTTTCCTAGCTCAAGACACCAAGATGTCCGAGTGCGCAAAGGTACTTTGAACTTTTTATTGAACTTGCCCACCTTTTTGGTGATTCATGCACCCAAGAGGAAGAGCACTTACTTTACTAAATAGAACCAATCCTACATTCTCTTCTACCATGCTAGTTAGTTAGTTAGAGAAAACCTAATTAGCGCCAAGATGCTCGATCGTGTCCTCGCTACTTTAACCTTTTTAGTGAACTTACCTACCTTCTTTGGTGATTTATTACGCCCAAGATGAAGAACTCTTACTCTAGCATATAAACCCAATCTTACCCTTCCTTTTGCTATGCTAGATAGGTAGTTAGAGAGAACCCGATTAACACCAAGATGCCCTAGTTCGCCATGGTGCTTTGACCTTTCTTATGAACTTGCCGCCTACCTTTTTTCGCGATTTATTGCATCTAAGATGAAGAGCTCTTACTTCAATTGATAGACCCAACCCCACACTCCCTTCGCATGCTAGATAGGTAATTGAAAATAACCCAATTAGCATCAAGATGTCCGAGTACACCATGGTACTTTTACCTTTTCTAATGAACTTGCCCACATTCTTTGGTAATTTATTATGCTCGAAATGAAGAATTCTTACTTTAGTGGATAAACCCGATCCCATACTCCCATCTCGCCCTGTTAAATAGGTAGTTGGAGAGAACACCATGTTATGTTTTTGATATCTTATTTAACAACGATATTATCCTATTCCCAATTTGAATAAATAATGATATGATTGTGTACAATTTTTTCAATTAAATTATCAAATAATACTCATTACCCATGTAGCTATTTCGATGTTTGCTAAGACCAAAACATAACAAGAAAATAGCAAGGATTTTTTTTTTTTTTTTGGTCTATTAAAGGATTTGTTTGAATATTTATAAAAATTTAGGACCAAAATGTACTTAATGTTTGTGTGTAAGAAATTGGTGTACAAAATCAAAGAATCTCTCGTCAATCAAAACATTTTCTTATCTTATCTTGCAAATTTCACATTTTAAGATAAACACAGTTAGTTTCTATTGTTATAAAACTTTCATCCTATTTAATTGTGAGATAGACATATAACTAATCACGTCCCACCAGCTTTGGCTGCTGGAATTAGAGTTGTCCCCCGATATGTTAGTGATAACTACTCCCGCTACTTCATTAATGAGCTAAATTACCTAGTTGCTTATAAATTGGAGAGGGATGAGCTTAAAAAGAGCAACCCTGTGCTTGGGCGTACCGAATGGTTGCTAGTGGCAATCTGGTTATTTATATATCATTCCAGTGGCATTTCCATTCTCCCCTCCACTTCCTCGGTCCCATCGACCAAACCAACGCACAAACATTTTGATAGTCTTTGTAACTGTGTGTACGAAGCAGACAAAGACACTAAAAAACTCCTTTTATTTTCTTTCTTGACCGAGTCTGAGTCCGAGTTCTGAGAGAGATGTGGTTGAAGGTCTCGTGTAATGCAGCAACTGCATATACAGGTGACCAAATCCAAGCTCAATGCAGATTACTAGGCCAACCGCGGACCAGGCCCAGATTACCTCGCCGTCGAAACGCTCTCGCTTTCTCCTCTCCGGTTGCTAACACTCCTCTGGTCCACGCTGTGGTTTCTGAAGGAGAGGCGAGTCGGGTCGAATCCGGGTCAGGTAGCTTGGCTGATAGGCTTCGGTTAGGTAGCTTGACGGAGGATGGGTTGTCTTATAAGGAGAAGTTCATAGTGAGGTGTTATGAGGTTGGAATTAACAAAACTGCCACCGTTGAGACCATTGCCAATCTCTTGCAGGTAAAACAAGAAAAATAAAATGTTAACTTTAATTTTCTTTCTGGTGTTTTTGTCTTTTATTTTTATTGATTTCATGCATACATCTTATTTTGTGTGAATTCTGATGGGATTTATTTCCTTTTACTTCCGAATTTTGGTGCGTTTGGGTTCTCTGCATTGTTGTGTTTGATTTGACTTGTTGAAACTCATGCAAAATTTGAGATTTTGGCATCTGAGTTTGTTAATTTAGCATTTGGGATATTCTTCTCTCTCCACAGTCTGGATTTTGTATGGTTTTGGTTTTGGCCTGGTTTCAGCAGCTTCTTTTCTCGAGAAATTTGTACTTTTGTTCTGTGTCTTTCCCTTACTTTGTCAGATTCTATGCTTGTCTATTGTCAGCCTCTATTGCATGTCTGTTACTTATTTTTTATTTGCTTTATATAATACTCCTCCATGTATATGCCATTTGTATTGGTATTGCTATTACTAATTTGAAAGCCGGTTTCCAATTCCCATATATACGTGGATGCTTGTTTAGTGTTTTTTGTCCTAATGATTAAAGTAATTGAGAAATAAAGGATTGATTCAATTCCTAAAAAATCGTATATTTTTGTGGTGATATTGTGTGTTGAATTCGGACTGCAGGAGGTTGGATGCAATCATGCTCAGGGTGTTGGATTTTCAACAGATGGATTTGCAACAACCACAACCATGAGAAAGTTGCATCTCATATGGGTGACAGCTCGCATGCATATTGAAATCTACAAATACCCAGCTTGGTGGGTTTTGGTCTCTTTCTTCGGCAATCCCCATTCGGTTTGAGCCTTATCGATTCCTTCTGACTGTTGATATGGGGTATTGTTGCAGGAGTGATGTGGTTGAAATAGAGACCTGGTGCCAAAGCGAAGGAAGAATTGGAACCAGACGTGATTGGATTCTGAAGGACTATGCCACTGGTCAAGTGATTGGGAGAGCTACAAGGTACTTTTTAGTTGTCTTTGCTGTGCAACTAGCATGAGTAAAATAACAGAAGAGTTTAAATACCACAATAAAACTCAACGTGGTTAGCTTATTTAATTAGATCTCAACTCCGTAGTCTAGTAGTTTGTGGTACGAATTAATTTTGATACGACATTTAATCATGGTTCTTGCCAGATTTCAATTCTATAACTTCTATTGCTTGCCATTTAAGCTGCTTCACAAATAGAAATTCAACAATGGATCCCACAGATAAGTCACATGTTAGCTATTTAAAGTGTTGTTGTGCTTCTTTTCTGTGAATATTTGCTTCCTTGATTGCCTGCTTAGTAATGCCAGTACCACTTCTTTTAGTCGCTCTTTTTATCTACTTTTTCTATAAATCTGTAGCCTTTTATCATATGTTCAAGATTTACTTCTAAAGGTCAAATTTGCCTATATATATATATATATTAATTGAGGTGTGTTATGAAAGCTGATTGGGCACATTTCTAATTGTAGCAAGTGGGTGATGATGAACCAAGATACCAGGCGGCTTCAGAAAGTCTCTGATGAGGTCCGGGATGAGTACTTAGTTTTTTGTCCCCGAGAACTCAGGTATGCTACTCTTTCATTTCTAGAGGCCTAATCAATCACCACCCATCTTCCTCAGTTCTTGCACTTTTTTATAATTTGACAATCGGGTTCCTTTTGTACCTTTCTTAGCACTTATGCCTGCCATTGTGCTATCAATGCAACTAAACATAGACTGCGTGTACATATTTTAAAGAGAAAAGAAAGACAGGTTTTTGTTGATATCGTGAACTCCATTCAATTGTATCAATACTAATTAAAATTTTTAATTCCATCTCATATGATCTCAGTTTTGGAACGGTTTGGAAACATTAAACAAACTGTATCAAAGATTGGAAATGCATGAAAACTTTGGACCATACAAGTAGGAGTTCAGAATACATATGACAATTTAACAAGTTAATTGAATGATTTGTTGAGGTTTTTGGGTGAACTTTACACCTATAAGATAACTATGTTTGTTATTTAGACAAGCATTTTAACTCCTACTGGTTTTCATAGCACAACGTTTCTGGAACAATAGGGTTGTTCAGTAAAGGAGCAATACTCCAATTTTTTTGGAAACTCAGGAAACAGAAAACGGAGTTTTCTAGAACCTTATGGCATTTCAATAACTTGTTTTTGATTTGTTTATGTCAGTTTTCCAGCTTATAGCCACTTTCTGTTTTCCACAATTTTCTTCAATTACATGAACAAATGAAAAACAAGCTTTTCCTTGTTTAACAATTATTTTAACAAAATAACCTTCATCATATGTTCAAGTACCAACTTTGTGTCCTTTCTTTGTAAACCACTTTAATGGAAAAAAATGTTTCTCTCTCTTTCTCTTCATTCTCTTGGATGTAAACCTTTTTTTCCCCTCTAGACGTGGAAGAAAAAATCTATTTTGAAAATGTTTTGAAAGTCAACTCTGAACACACCCCTTAGACGCACCCCCTCCCTCCGCACAAACAAATGCAAATAGCTATATGCTGTTGTTAATGATCTAATTACAATTTCAAGATTGCAATTTTATCTAATATGGTATTATGATGCTCGCATGCTCCAGGTCTCTGAAATAAGTTGAACATCTCAGGTGATTGTAATTTATGTCACTAAAGGATGTTTTATTTGCATTTAATTATTTCTGTATAATTTGAATAACCAAGGTGATGTATCATCAAACTTACAAGATAAAATGTACAGATTTCCAGCAAATATAGTTGATTTAGATAAGACATGTTGATCAATTTTTTTTATTTTTTTTTAATATTTATAGACTGGCATTTCCAGAGGATAATAATCGCAGCTTGAAGAAAATTTCCAAACTAGAAGATCCTGCTCAACATTCCAGGCTGGGACTTGTGGTAAGATATTTGGTTAATCTGAACATCTAGCAATTTCATTCCAAGGTCTAAATGCGTTTTTGGAATTTGCAGCCCAGAAGAGCTGATCTGGACATGAATCAGCATGTTAATAATGTGGCCTATATTGGATGGGTTCTAGAGGTCTGTAACCGAGCATTCTGGAATGGTTTCTCTTGGTTTTCTGGCCATTATTAGTTGCTCCCTCTAATTAATCGTATATCTTTCTCCACGACAGAGCATTCCTCAAGAAATTATCAACACCCACGAACTGCAAACAATCACCTTAGATTACAGAAGGGAGTGCCAACATGATGATGTAGTTGACTCCCTCACCAGTCTGGAACCTGTTGAGGAATCTGAAGCAGTTTCAGAGCTTCAAGGAACCAATGGATCTGCTACTGCAACTGCTGACAACCAGGAGTGCTGTAACTATCTGCATCTGCTAAGATTGTCAAGGGATGGGCTTGAAATAAACCGTGGCCGAACTGAGTGGAGAAAGAAACCCCCCGATGAAGTAAATGTAGATATCTGGCTGCACTTTATGCTGAAAGAAACCTGCCAGATGAAGAGAGAATGCAGATCTCCGGTCTTGCTGAGTGGGAGAGAAAAACCTGCGGGACGAAGAGATAATGTAGATTTTTGTACTATTTCATGCTTTAATCACCTTTTCAGGCCGACATTCTGTCTTTCTTTCTGTTTTCTTTTAATTTTTTTGAAAAGAAACTCCCACAGGGACTTCGTTCTAATTTTGTTCTGTTAGGTTACAGATTGTGCTGAGGAACTTGAAAGTCAATTGTTTGGACCGAGTGAACATCGTGATCTTTGTTACACCCACCTCGAATGCTCCATGAATAGTGTTAAGTTCTTATGCTTCATCTCTTTCGCTTTACGCACACGATTTTGTCACGGTACCATTGCAGGTCAGAACAGAAATTAGAAGCAATAGGGATGTACAATATCTTTACCTTGACACTTAATTGGCCAATTGGTGCCTGTCATACGCTGGTGTAGTGGTGTCTTTGCATCAAGAAATTTGCCGCATTGTCAGTTCTATCTTCTTGCTTACGTTGGAATTAAAAAATATTATTCATGGATGTTTTCGCAATGTCATCTTTGTTCAAGTTCTTGCAAGTTGGAACTACTAATGGCCTGTCTCGAGGCATCCATCCAAAGCCTCAGGCCATGGGAATGATGCAGTTGGTAGAAGATAATTGGATTACGTTCCTTTCATGTCAACACTCCCAAGATTTGTTGAATATTTACGTCAACTTTGGAGTCTGGACAAGTTGAAGATCTGCTCAATTGCTTCCAATTACAACTAGTATTGGTTGATAACTTGAGCAGAAGCTAGACCTTACGAGCAGCTGCCAGCCTGGGATAGCAAACACAAGTAAAGACAAAGTGGTTTGGTTAGACCTGAAAAAGATCATCATTTATCCTCCAATGCAGCCAGATGGGCACGCTTATTACCACCTGATAAATTTTCAACTTAGTTTGCTGCCTACTGAATTCTTAGCTAACGTTCAACCTCCATCATACACTCATCTAATTGTCAACGTTTTACAGGATTAAGTCCGTCTTTTTTTAGGGAAAAGGTAATGCAGAAGTTCACAAGCAATCCTCAGTTTGGTACATTTAATGTAGGGGGCTATGAGGCCATCAATGAAGTTACTATATATTTCTGTCCAGAGTCATCAGAGCAACCTAAAATAAAACCTTAAACAGAAATTCATGGATCATACATAATTGGGCTGGCATTTCACTGTGAAGTGTGGACCTCCCACCATAATATCCTGTTATAGAGCATTAAAGTCACTCTCCCAATCAAGTAAACGAGTGATGCCTTTGTTCTAACAGATCGGCACTATAAAATGCAGTGGATATGGAGACAAATCATCTGCAAGAAAAAGAAGAGTACTAAGACTGAGATCAATTAAGTTGCCATGGGAAAAGGGAATTTTAAGGCCTGGTTTGTTTTGATTTTCTTTCTTATAGCGTTTGGTATCACTGAAGGAGCAAGAGATTTGGGAATGACAGGAGAGGTCTACAATCCTCAGAATTTCCTAAGAGGCATTCTGGGTCCAGGTATTTGGGGAGGAGGGTGGCCATTTACGGGTTGGGGAGGGTTGGGAGGAGGACCAGGCTGGGGTTGGGGCTTGCGTAAGCCAGAGCTGGCTGGACCAAAAGATGAGGCTCCTGGGTATGGGAATCTGCCTGCATATTATGGGGGTGCCATTGGGCAAACCCCATGAAAGTATGCCTTTTATTTAGTACTATGTATAATGTAATGTCTCGCATGGCTATGGTGCTGGAATAAAACGTCCTTTATTTCTACCTCTCTCTCTCTCTCTCTCTCTCTCACGCACACACTGTTCAGAAATTTTTTCTGCAAAGCCTAATAGTTGCTGATAGCTGTACAGAAGAAACTACGGCTCCGCAATGCAAAGTTCATTTCATTATAAATTACTTGAAAATAATATTATAGGACAGGCAGCTTTAGATAAAATATATTTATATTTATAATAAAATAAAAGGATAACTACGTAGGTTTCTCAAAATTATAAATTATATATAAAGTTAAAGTAAAACCATTGATTTTACTATTTATTCACTATTTAAAATATTATTCATACATATTCATATACACTATTGACACGCACTCGGATGTATTATTTTTTCATTATGTAGTGGTATTTTTATAGTTTTTAAATATTTATTATGAAAGTTTTCTTAACGTTTTACTTTGATTCCTTTTTTTAAACACGGTTTTTTCAATTCGTAAATATTTTTTCTTTGGTTTTGGTCTGTCTTTTTATTTGATTTTAGTCTTTTTTTATTTTTTTTAAATAAAAAATTTTAAGGTAAAAAAATGTTTTAAAAAATTACAAAATAAATTTTTAGCTAAGAATTCATTGGTTTTGACATTCTTTATATTATTAAATAATTTTTTCATAAAAAATTTAAAGAATAATCAATCAAATATAAAATTTGATATATTTTTTATAGACACATAATATAACACGAAACATTAAAATAAAATAATTTTTATAAATAATTTTATGTATTTTATCTGATTTCAGTAACGTGACACATGTAAAAAATCTAATGTGGAAAAGTGTAATAATTCCTTTCAACTTCGCAATTCTTTTTTTCTTTTGTTTCTCAAAGCTGGTGCTTTGACTTCAGTTCACCCACGAAGGCTCCTCCGATTGGAACGAAATTTCCCATGGTATAAAAGCCAAAAAGGCACTACTACAAACTTTAGCTTGTAATGAAATCTCTAAATTCCACTGTTTACAGCAAATCGCTCGGACTCCACGAACTGCCCCTCCTATGTAGATGCATGCATCAACACTAGACACATCATAGTTTTAAACAAGCATTTACGGTTGCAATTTAGGGCTAAATATAACAGTTGCGAAGATTATTATTATTATTGTAAATCATTTAACAATCTGTAATAAGTTTTCATAAGATATATTAATTTGATAGTTTTATTAAATAATAATTGCACTATAAAAAATCAAATTTTAATTTAACCTAAGTTTCAAACCATTGTTCGTTAAATGTTTTATAAAATTATAATTTAGTTATGGATTACTAGAATGGAAGAAAAATTGACTCATAAGTTTTTTTTTTTTTTTTGTGCAATAAAAAAAAACATTATTAAATTTTTTAAAGTATACAAACTAAGAAAAAAAGTTAAAAAAAATTCAAAAATTAGGTTCAATATCACTTAATATATATAAAGTAAGTGCAACTAAAATTGTATCAAGAAAGTAGGTCCAATAAAAATTGTATCACTAGAACTATTTAAAAATACGGACCAAAATAAACTCAAAAACATTAATCATCTAAGTTCAAATCCAATGCTCATATGTCTAAACCAAATATGACTGCCGCCATACATGTAAATCGCTAATATTCATTATAACGCTAAAAAAAGTAATGGCTACTGCCGATTTCATTACAGGTAACGGCCATTTTTTAAAACACATGGATGCACCCCTCTTTCATACAAAAAGGTACTACTACAAGCTTTAGCTTGCAAAAAGGATTATGGATATCATGAATCATTAATTTATAGGATACGATAACTATAACTTCTATTGGATTGAGCTTCAATATTCAAGTCACTACCTAAATGTCATAAAACTTCCATTGCCATCTAGTGGCTACATAACTGGGCCAATGGCAAATGAAAAACAGATGACTGAGAGTCCAGCCAACAAGCATCATCCATTAGACATAAATTTTATTCCAAATACAAAACCCAATGTTGCCACCAGGCATTTCATTTTGAGCTGCACAATAAGTTAGACAAATTCCTTCAAGCGAAAAATTAGGATCCTCCAAAATGCTATAACTATTGTTCCATTTTCTTCCCCCCGATCTCATAATTCTTTCTTTTAACCCTGTTGCAGAACAGACGGAAAACCAAAAAAGTAATGAATATTTAGACAAGGGAAGCTGCATTCTCCAAACACTCAAAGCAAGCATTATCTTTATCTCATGGAAAAACATGCACAACAAATTCTGCTCATTCAAAGTTTGCATTGACAGGATTGAGAAAGTTGCATTTCAAAATATAAGTGATGCTAGTGCGCCTTGAATCTCTTATTTGCATTTTAACAGTATTTTATTGGGAATGCCCTCAACAAATAACATCCAGAACGCCATTATGCTTTTGAAACCTATTATCTTGAGGTGAAGGTGCGTATGCATGTTTGTGGATTGCATCCACAACTATTCCCTGCTACTTCCTTTTGACTTCTTTACCGACCAATAGAGGAAATAAAGCAGCAAACTTACATAGACATTAATTGAATGTGAGCTTGAAAAATCAACTGGTTGCTGGCAGGAACACTCTAATAAGTTCTTTAGTAGTGATTCTTTTTCTACAAGTAGGGCATTTAGCCTGTCTTTTGATTGCATCTGAGATGCAAGTCTTGCAGAAAATGTGTCCGCATTTTGTTGACACCTCCTCAGCCAATGGACCCAAGCAAATCGGACAGTTGAAGGTTGGCTCCTTTGTCGGCAAGGTTGGCTCCGTTGACGGCAAGGTCTGCACATTCTCCCTCTGGCAATAAAGTATAGCAATGAGCATCAGAGTTTCAAAAACATATAACAAAACATGGTTGCATTGCACATGCCCACGCATGCAAATCAACCATAGATAAAAAAACAAAGATCTCTGACCATTATCCAAAATTATTCTTATATCTCCACTGTAACTCTAAAATCATGTACAAGAAAACAAAATTACAAATATTAAAAGACATGCAAAGACCAGAGTAACTAGAATAATCTGCTAACGATAATGCAAAGAGGTTAAGTACCTAAAAGCAGTGAAGAAGTGCAGAAGGATAACATTTACAGATCAAATTCCAATCATGCAGAGATAAAAAGTCATTATGGCGTACTTAAGATAATTTAAGAGGGGTTTCTAGTTCTGCAAAATCACATCCAAGTTGCACTAACTTTAATGCAACAACTCAAGCCATTAATCAAAAGCACAACAGGGAAAATAATAGGAATGGGAACTATAGGAGCAGCTACAAAGGCACGTGTAGCATCAGAGTTGCAGGTATTACCGTAGAACTGCTGCTACTGCTGCCTTCCAAATTGATGTAAAGATCACAATTGATAATTGTTTGGTTTGGTGGAACTCTTCTACGCTTGTTGCGGTTATTGTGAGTCAATCTACTTGTTCGCCCTGCAGGGCACACAAATAAGAAGAGAAAGATGTGATGAACATAAACACTTGAGAACACACAGTAACATGAGTACATTTATGCATTCACGGATATATATATCCTCAGAGACAAGAGAAACACACTAACATTATAATTATCAATATCATTACAAGCAGGAATCTAGATAAAGCAATAAGACAGCAATCCATTTAACAGAATATACCATAGGCAAAGAAATAGTTTATCACCTGACTCTACATCAACTACAACAGCCCTTCCTCGAGTTCTTCGAGCATTGTTCTTAGCCTTGAATGAAAAAATAAATAAATAACTAAAGAAAGTTTCTCAACGAAAAGAAAACTGAAAATGCGTAAACTGTTCAAAATTGGGACCTCGGCAAATGCTGTTGGTGACGATTCAATGACATCATCATCAAAAGCATCAACATCAACAGTATGAGGTGGCAAAGATTGTCCTTGTTGGCTTGCTTGCACTCCTTGAGGTTCAGGGCGGCTTGAAGTCCCTTCGTCATCCCTCCCTTCAGTTGGAGGAGCATTTAAGTCCAGCACCGTCTTCCTTCGTCGATACCCCCTTAAAGGAGGACTCTTTATCCCCTGAGTTTGAGTGCTCATGCTCGATCAACAAGCTTCCTAAAAAATTGTGCAGTCTCAATAAACTAAAAATTCATAAATCAAACAGTAAAAGAAAACAAGGGAAAAGATTTATGTTAATCCAATCTTAAATTACTCAGTATAGAAGAATATACTTGATCAAATTGTTATACACTAAACATAAAAGTATCAACAGATCTTAAAGTCCAATTCAACTCTCAAATTTAAGCATCCATATCTCACATTACATGGGGAAAAAAAAAAAAAAAACTAAATAATTTCCCAAAAAAAAAATTGGAATTTTCTTTTGACATCAAACGAGTAATTACCCTACTACAACAATGAAACCATACTTCAAAATCCAAAAAAAAAAAATCCAAGAATTCTAAGAAAAAAGATGATCAGTTCAGCAGCATCAAATACAACAAAAGCACAGCACGCTAGCGATTGCGAGAAATTAGAGGAAATCGAGGGAAACAATCCGATCAAGTCAAACAGAAAACAATATTAAATTAAATTAAATTACCTATAAAGACAGACTTTGACTCTGCAAAGAAAATCGTAGAGATGAAATTGAGAGATAGATTTTGGTTCAACGATTAGGGTTCTGAAAATTGGGATGAGAGTTTGGATACGAAGAAGTAGAAAAATAAACAAATAAGAGCGTATAATTGGTGTTTGGCCAAAGGGTTAACAAAAGGCCTAAAACTAGAAGAGAAAGAGGGAGGGAGGGTCAGGGTTTCTGACACAGGGGTCGGTGATGGGGACGAGAACCGTCCACGTGGCCCATTCGTCAGCCGTTACGTATACCCTGTTAGACTTCATGTCGTCAACGCTCATCTTCTGGGCTGGGCTCTGTTCCGCCAGGCCCATTTCGGCATTTTGCAATTTCAGTCCAATTAGATCTCTTTTCATTTTTTTTTTTTTTTTAAGAATTCCAATAAGATTCGAATTATCTTAATAAACGAGAATGATTTCTTCTAATCTAAATTTACAATTTGATGAAATTACTCATTCATACCACTTTTTTCTTGAGCAATGGATGCTCTCAAAATTCCATCCAATTTGGAAAGGTGGTAGCCCTTTTCTTGTCCATTCGGATCATAGGATAAACCAGTGAAAAGTTCCATACAAGTTGAGGATTTTGAGCAACTTGTAGATCAACGTGCTATATATGCAGGCACGATTCATCCAGACGGTGCAGTGAAGTCTATATAATTAGGTTTTAATATTTTAAATAATTTTTTAAAAAAGGTGTAAAATTAAAATCAATTAACATTAATTGTAGAAATTTATTTAATTTAATATTTATTATGTAATATTCAATAAAATATTTATATTTTATAATTGAGTTTAAATATATTCTATGAATATATTGATTTTGATCAATAAAAGAAAACATGCAATCAATTAATTATTTTTTTAAAAAATCAAATTAAAAGAGGGTGTCAAATCAATTTATACTTAAATAGTGTTTAATTTTAGTTAATGAGTTTATAAAAAAATAAACATTAACCATTGAGAAAAAAATATATTTTTTGAGCAAATAATAAATAAATAAAAGCATAAGCACGCACCAGGCCTTTTCGTATGGAATCGGAGACAACCAAATTTACGTTTCTGGGCTAAAAGCGCAGCCTAGCTAAAAGAAAGTATTTTTTTGGGATAATTACCAGAAAAAACTTATAAAAAAATCTTATATCTAAAAAACCCTCGATTTTATTTTTAAATCTCCTAAACTCAAAATAATATTTTTCTTATCAAAACAATCAATAGTTAACACTAACACTAGTGTTAGTGTTAACTAATGTTAGTGTTAATTATTGATTGTTTTGATAAGAAAAATATTATTTTGGACTTGTGAAATTTAAAAATATTATTTTGTGTTTGGGAGATATAAAAATAAAATAGTGGATTTTTTAGATAGAAGATATTTTAAAAAGTATTTTGGTAATTATCCATAGTTTAAATGAAACCATTATCTTTCAAGATATGTATTTGTATAATTGTATTATGGATAATCATGTTTTATTTAATTAATGCACCAAAATATGTTATACATTCATCTTATTATTTAATTTAATTATTTGATAAAAAATGTTGAGTTTGATTAATTAAAAACTAGTATTACCGATGATACTTTTTTTTCTATCAATATATTAGGATTTAAGAAATCACTAATGTTCATAATGATACATATTCTCATTTTTCTATTTGTATGATAGCCTTTTGATTAAATTACAAGAGAATAACAAGAGTCTTCTTTCATCAATATTAATTAGTTAAACTCGCATTGATTGCTATAGTTACTAGATAGTAAAATTAATCTTATAATTAATGAAACAAATGGTCGGAAAAAAAACTCGTAATATAAGGAATTTTTTAGCATTAAAAAAAAAAACAATCGAATGTTAGTGTTTAAAAATTTTCTATCTGAAAAATCCATCAATTTATTTTTTAAACCTCTCAAATCTAAAAATAAAATAATTGTCTTACCAAAAGATCGAATAGTTAACTAGTGTTAAGTTGGAGATTAACTATTGAGTGTTTTGGTAAGAAAAATATTATTTTGAGTTTGAGAGATTTAAAAATAAATTGATGAGTTACTCGAATATAAGATTTTTTTAGAGGGTTTTTGTGGTAATTATCCTAATTTTTTTACCCACTATAGCAGAGACTTAAGAACAATAAAACCTTATTTAGTTTTATTATACATACATACATATACACACACAGTACACTATAATATAATTTATCTTATTCATTTCTTTTCTCATGGTTTCATATTTGTCAATTTCGGGATGCTAGAAGAGTTATTAATAGCTTGCTCTACCCATATTTAAGTAGTTTAAAAAATTAAGTTGTAGTATTTAATATAAAAGTTTATTTGATAACCTAAATAATCTCATATTAAAAATTTAAATTAAGTCAAAATCTACTTAATTAGTTAAGTTAAAGTTTTTAACTTATTATATTTTAATTAACACGCCGAGTTTAAAGATTTTTAAAACTTTTCAAATATGATTATATCGTCTTTATATATTCTTATAACTTTAGCTATACATCCGAAAAACAATCTTTACTATCCTCATTGCTAAAACAAAGGAAACATTCTCCATTATCGGTGCTTCTATCCCGAATCCGAAATGCTAAGGTCTAATCCCATTGCAAGTGATTTTCCTTCCATTCCATTACAAGTGATTTTCCTTCATACCTATTGATATCTTAATCAATTTTTTTTATATTTTTTTTGTATATATTTTTTAGAGAAAGACTAATTCTTTTTGTAGATTAAGTTGTTTTGTAGATTAAGTCGTTTTAGTTTCGGGTTTTGATTTACATTACTTTGTGTCTTTCTAATGCCACCATCATCAATATTTTTTTCTTTTTGTACAATTTTCTCGTTGATATCCTTCAAATCCATTAAGGGCTTCACGTGAGAATTCAATTAGAGCGGGAATTTTTTGTGATTTCGAAAGGCACGATTCCTATAATAGAAGCACAATCCATACATGAGCATAGTTGAAAAATTAGTAAAATCTCTCCATTGCCTTACATAATTTTGCTTATCTTCTATCTCTTTTCGAAAATTGTCTTCTCTTTTCGGTATAAATACTAACAAAATCCATTATATGATTCAGAATTATCTAGCAAGATTAATAAAAGAGCCTCAACTTTGCTTATAAAAGTTGAGCGATTAACTCGTAGTTATTGTTCATGTTTATTAATAAAATATCATGATTAATTACAAGGTTAAAATTGTATATATATATATATATATATATATATATATATATATATATAGCCTTAATATGTTCAAGCAACGAGTACTTATCAAGCAAGCTTATTATATTCCACACTTGATTTTTGGTAAATACCAAATAGCTTATCATGAACATATTCGAGTACTTAATTATTCAACACTTAAAATTTAGTACTTAACGATTCGACACTTAATTTTCGGTTTTATCAAACACCACCCTTAAGAACAATAAAACCCCCATTTAGTTTTATTATACATACATACATACATATACACACACAAACACTACAATATAATTTATCTTATTTATTTCTTTTCTCCTAGTTTCATAATTGTAAATTTCGGGAAGTTAAAAGAGTTATTAATAGCTTACTCTACTCATATTTGCCAATTTGTTTGCTTCTTTTTCCCGAGATTAAACCTTACGATGTTAGGTTATTCCATGTGAATTCCAGCATTTGCTCCCTTAATGCTCTTAGTGACCGCTAGCATATATTCCGCGTGTTGCCGCGGAGTTAGCTATACGATATTCTTATGTATTCATTCATATAAAATGCAAAATTTTAAAATAATTATGTAAAAGGATCATGTGAAAAAAATTCGGAGTGAGTTATATAAAATTCTTATGTATTCGATCATATAAAATACAAAATTTTAAAATAATTATTTAAAAGGATCATGCAAAAAAAAAAAAAAAAACTTTGTCAAATCCGAATTTGGCAAAAAAAAAAATTGAGATAAAATTACGCACGATCAAAATTAAATAATCAAAACAAAGTAAAAATCATAAAAAAATGATAAAAAAAAAAAACTTTCACTAAAAGCAACAAAAATCTTATAAACAATAAGACTCGTGAGCAGTTTTACTAAAAGCCAAGAAAAAAAATATTTATTATAGGAAAAAAATCAAATATAATAAAATTTTAATATTTATTACATGGAAAAAAAAATCAAATATAACAAAATTTAAATGACTAAACTAATAAAAGCTTACAAAAAAGGAACTAAATTAAAAATAAAATTCGCTAAACGCTAAAAGAGGGGCTTAAAAAATACAGGAAGAGAAAAAAATGATTTACTATAGGAATAAAAATTAAATATAATAAAATTTTAATGGTCAAAATAAAAAAGTTACAAAACATGGATTAAAATAAAAATAAAATAAAATTTTAAGATTTATTATAAGGACAAAAATAAAATATAATAAAATTTTAATAACCACGATAAAAAATTACAAAACAGGGATTAAAATAAAAATAAAATTTATTGAAAGCCAATAAAAGAGCTTAAAAAATGCAGCAAGAGGAAAAAAACTGATTTATTATAATAAAATTTTAATGATTAAAATAAAAAAAAAGTTACAAAATAAGGACTAAAATGTAAAATTAATTTAAAACCAAAAGAGAGGCTTAAAGCATCGAGAGAAAGAAAGAAAGAAAAAAAAAAGGGGCTACAGGCAAGGTTGGAAAAAAAAAAAAACAAAGAAAGAGAGAAAAAAAAATTAACCCAAGCTATAGGCAAGGCAAGGCCAAAAAAAAAAAAACAAAAAGTATGAATAGTAAATGAACAGTAAAAACGTTACAGTATTTTAGCATTTTGTTTTTGTTTTTCTTGTAATTGTATTGTTACATATCAGCTTGCTCCGAAGTTATAAGCCACCCTTTTTAAACCAAGAAAGAAAAAAAATCCTGTATATATTATGGAAAATGCCGCGAACTATTATTTATCTACGAAAAATGAAGCATTTTTTCCCACATCAACCTATTGAACTTCATTGAAAATCTCATGCCAGAGGATTCCACTGTTCTAAACTACACATTGAGTTATGAACAAAAATTACAGCACCGTTTTAAATTGCATCATTAATTCTTTCAACGAGATAACAGTTGGATTTGTTTTAAGACACGCTACATACAGATTTAAGGCACAGAGATTCGGACGGTTTGCGCAAACTGCATGCGATCTTGAAAATTTGTTGCACAAGCGAGGCATATACAAAGCCAAAACTTAGCAGTCTCACAGTTTTAAAGCGCCAAAAAACCATGATTCAATACGCTGCATGCGCACGAGAAAATTCCTGCGTAAACTCGGTCATTGTAGATCAAGCAAATCAAAATGTACCCACTACGCTAATTAATCACAAAAGGTGGGATTTACTATATCAATCAATCATCAAACTATATTGATCTGTATCACTTTTTTTTTTACGTGCCCCTCCACGGCGCAGACAAGGCTTCAGAAGGAACACCAAACACTAGTAAGTAAAAGAAAAGACACTTCAACCTTGTACAGATTTGATGGGAAGACAATGCAAGCCCTTTGGCATTGGAACAAGGTGATATCCTCAACAGATGCAAATATAATTATTTGCGTAATTTAGGACTTCTGGGAGCAGATGTCAATTCTCAATCCAAAAATGTATGATTCTCACAGAAGTTGGTACAGTTACAAAGAAGAGTGATGCAAGCACAAGGAAAGACATAATATCTAGATTCAAATAAAAGAATCGCTATGCGGTTCTTTCCCACCAAACATAATTGTGAAACTGGAAGCTAAATAACAGACTGCGGTATAAATCATGTAAAAGAAAAACAACGAGAAAGGAAAAAGGAGTGCTACATTTCCATTACAACATTTTGTTTACCATCACAAAGGCCACACAAATAGATAAAGAGTGATTTCGACTTCGGAGAAGTTATTCCCTGAAGAGATCCTTCAAAGTATTTACAAGCCCAACAAGCCTCATAATTTACCACAATTTGAAATACCTCATTTTCTGCTCCATGGAAAGCAGCAGCTCTGAAAAAATAGGGCAAGAAATTAAAAATTTATAAATGATATGATGATAATCTTCAAAGAACAAGAGATTATGTGCCTAGTAATGGAAAGTTATGGCATACCTTAGCACTGTCACTTGGGGTTTGCTTACGAGCATAACCATAAGATGACTCAGTAGGCATACCGGGTACCTTCCCTTCACCAATTTGCTTTTCCTCCCTCACTTTGTTGAAAATGTGAGTATAACCATCGGCTGATGAAGGGTTGTTCTCATCCCAATCACCAAATTTCGGAACAGCAGCACCTTTCTCAGGCTGCCACACCAGAAAAACACAGTCAAGAACAACTTTTGACAAAGATTTTATCAGGATCTCAATACTAGAAGGAAAAAAAAAAAGACTAAAGAGAGCCGAAAAAAAAATCATTTTGGCTTTGCCCACTGCAAGTGCAAAAGGAATTAAAATCAAGGAAAAAGATCACATAAGAGTAGCTCAAAAAAGCAAGCTTGTCGTGCTCACAAGGACTAAACTGCCAACGATGTAAGAGGTGTTCAATTTGAAAGAAGAAAAACAGTTACAAATCTTTCAGCAGACCAAACACACAGCTGAACAAATCCACAAAAAACGAAGATATATGGGGAAAAAGAGAGAAAATTTACACTTTCATCGCCTTTTGGTCTCAGTCGGGATCTTCCAGGAGTTCCATGACTACTATCATATGAATTTTTTCCTTCCCAGGAAGGTGATGGAGCTCCACTATTTCTCCCAGAAATCCTGGCTTGGTTATGGAGTGGGGATCGCTCCATACTGTTATCAGATCCACCGCTGTTTCTTGCCGGTCGTCTTTGGGTTTCACCAGAGCTTGGTCCCCGTCCCCCATAACGTGGAGGCGCCAACTCATTGCTAGCTCTACGGTTCATATTTTCATATCGTGCTGGAGACTGAGCATACTGTTTCATGTCACCTTCTTCCCTGCTCCTTCTGCGCTCTTGTGATCGCCTAACAGCACCCTGCCCTGCTGCTTCCTCTGGTTGAGCTTTGGCTCCAAGTGGAGGAGCTTGATCTGGAGCTTCGTAATCAGAAACTAAATCAGGGTTCTCTTGGGGATCATTTGGATTTATCATCTTTCCTCCAGTTCGACCCTTCCGAGCCTTGTCAAAATAGGCCGTATATGGAACATTCTCTTCACTTTCCCAATTACCAAACTTTGGTACATGTGAACGTTGCTGGAAAAAAAAAACGAGAGATTGTGTGATACCCACCTGAAAGAAGAACCCTTGTGCAGGCCAGGCAACTAACTTTTTATCCATGAAAACATGCCAGTTCATTATTAATGATGCTTCCATGAAGTAGCAAATATCACACGGGCCACTGTATCCTCTTTTATAAGAAGGGTTGCAGATGGTGAATCCTAGTATGCTAATCGATGAGGAATGATGGAGAGTTGTAGATATTCAAAGTCACTCCAAATATGAGTCAAGAAAGATTGTATCGCCATACAAAGTATATTTCATTTTTCTATAATGCAGAAGCATAACACTAACAAGACAACAGTATTAAATTATAGAATTGTGTAGTTGACATCTCATGTCTGTAAACTTATAAATGCATACCTAGACGACTTCAAATTACAGTCTGATGAAAATTCCACACATCTGTGTAATCTGAAAGTGAGCTGATATTTTGTTTTTCATGTCAATGAGAAAGGCGTGCAGGAAGAAGAGGTTAAGATGAAAAGGACAGAGTCCACAGGAAAAGAGTAACATGCAATTTGGATACCGGGTTAGCAAGATATGTTCTCTAACCAAGAGGAAAAATACCACAAAGTCGAGCTTCCAATGTGGAAAGAAAAAACGCTACAAATCAAGGTAGCAAGCAGAAAGGTCAACAGATTTCTCCTATTCTAGCCGCTAAACCTTGAGCCTGAACACAGTGCTTATTACAAATATTTGAACTAACAAGTTCAGATCAGAATCAGGGATCAAGATAACAAAATTATGACAGCTCCGTTGGGGAAAACGTATTACAGTAAGTTTTAGAGATAAACGGGACTAGTTTCATCCACATTCCAGAAATCAAGTATGCTTACACCACAAAAAGGGTTATTCTACTCATGCTCTCCATGCTTCACACCAGAGAGAGGAACTGGGACCAAAAGGCATAAAAAGAAAAGGAAAATCAGGGAAAGGTGTAGATAACTTATGCATTGAAGTTCGAAGAGTTGCGTGTAGCTTCATTATATCTCCACCACTAATACCCATAGTTTCACATTTGAAGTATTCCCATTTCAATCCTAACACTTAGTCCTTTTGCATTGCACGTTTTGATCTTGAGCAGTATGCCTACCTATCTACCCACCTTTTCACTTTGTTCATCATTGCAACAAGGTTATCAACGACACTTTGATCAGAATAATGTCCTATGATTCGAATGGACAAGGGCACAAACATGGTGTACTTATAATGGTTAAAGAGACAATGAGTTACTTATTATGCTAACCATGTTGCACTAAATAACCTACTACAGGCATCGTAGGAGCGAATCTGAAAACAGTCCACTTCTATACTTTAATGATGCCTGGTTGCAAGATAACCAAAGAAATAATCTTAATCCCATGAGAAAAGGATTTTTTCTTCTTTATTGATCTTATCAGTTACATACCTTAGTAGGAAATGGTTTAAGAATCTCAGCACAAATTCAAATTTCTCTAAAAATTTCCATCTTAGAAGAGGCACAGAGAATAAATAATAATAATAATTGTAGAGGACAGTGAATGATGAAAATGACTTTACTTAAACGGAGCTTCCCTAACTAAGATTCATGAAAAACAGAGGGACACTAATCAAAAAGCAGCTTTGTCTGAAGTCTTAAACCAATCAAAGCATCATAAGCAGAAACCCATAAAATAAGTTTCATCACAAGAAAATTTGGAAAGCTAACCAATGGATTGCCAACTAAAGCCAAATCATATCCCATGCCATTTGAAAATTATTTTCAACATCAAAATTATGCAAGCCACATATTTCATGAATCAACAGTACTAGCAGTGTAGCCCTAATTCATAATCTACGCTGCATAAAGGTCCCAAAGATGAGGATCTTACAGATCCATTTCACTGCAAAAGGAGGTGCTCCAACAATCAGAATGCATGAGGTAAGAGAAACCAAAACTAATTTCATTGTGAGTTGGTTTTGGACCAGAGTTGCAAGACTCAGAGTACAAAGACTTGAGGTCACAATCCTTTAGAAGGCATATTTAATCAGTCACTAAAACTGTATGCTAGTATTAATTATCAATCAAGGATTTAAAAAGTTGGTGAATACTTTCCCAGATTAGGGTGATTTGGTAAGATTATCTTCGATTTGTACACTAATAATCTAAACCTAATTTTGACTTGTTATCATTCCTTGCCAGTTTCTCTCCACATTACATGATTTCTTTCCATCATGACACCTCTTGATCTCCCCCTCAGCACACAAGTCGAGGGATAAAAACAAGACTTGGACATCCAAACTGCCAACCCAACTTGTCTAAAATCCTTACGTAACGTTGACAGGACTAAAAGTTCCAAATTTTTAATTATCATATGTTTATGCAGCTGAAAATTCAGTATCGATTTATAGCCATTAACAGAAAAAAGAAGAATCACCAAAAACACCCTAGTCCAATTCAATCAACTACGAAACTTGATCATTACCAACAGATAGAAACAACCCAGCATTGCCAATCAATCAAGTTCAAGACATAAACCACAAAGATTACACATGCTGTTTTTGATCCTTAAAGATTAAACCAAACTACATACATAATTGATCTTCTTCAACTTCAAAGCAACCAAACTGAAGATACATACAGATATCCAAACTAGAATATTTATTAAAAAAAAAAAAAAGGAAATAGAAAAACTTACAGCCATTTCTCTCTGAACCAAGCTTGGAATGAAACCCAGAAACCGCAAAGACTAATCCTTCAAGTAAATTGAACTTCTTATACAATAAAATGAAACTCAGTTAAAGCTCCTTCAAAAGAACCCTTCAACGACTAACCCTTCAAGCAAATTGAGCTTTTCATATAATAAAATCAAACTCGGTTAAAGCTCCTTCAAGAGAACCCTTCAACGACCCCAGCAAGAAACGAGGTGACTTTTACCCACACGGAGAGAGAAAGAGCTTAAGTTTAATTAGACAGACTTTTTAGAGAGAAAGAGCGTGTTTAGGGAAAGAGGTTTATCAACCATTGACCAGAGCCACCCACCGGTAATGTTTGACCATTCTCTCTCTGTCTCTCTTTCTCCTCTCTTCTCTCTGTAAAACAATGAAAAAATTAAAATTAAAAAAAAAAAAAAAACACAAAGAAAGAGAGAATGTCTCAGTTTCAAGTGTCTCTTTCTCTAAGTCGGGCACCGTACGTAATGTTTCCACTTTGTACAATATTACTACCACATACGATCCATGGACACGGATACGGTATTCATTCTTTGCCAGAGATGTTTCTATTCCTTCCAGGTCAGTGTCTGATCGTTGAATGCTTAGTAGTAAGATTATAAAACGGGCTAAATGACGTGGAAGAAACGAGTTGTGGTTCTGGAAGTAGCAAGTTTTCTTTCTCTTTTTTTTTTTTTTGGAAAAATTAACAATAGTAGTAGGACCTGAATTTATGGTAGTTGCTGTTTCTGTTGAGGGTTAGAATTAACCTTAACGGCGTGACTGACTGTTGTTGGCGGCTGACCTCCTTAACTTAACCGTAATAAAGCTGTGTTTGTCTGCTTCTGTTGAAACATTTCTGCTGACTTTTCTTACCATTAGTTTTCTTCTTCTTCTTTTAAACTTTTTCTATTCTTTTCTCATTTCCATGTAACGGAGTTCAAGGTTTGAACTGTTCCACTTCGGCTCCCGTTGCTTGTCCACAATATTTATTGTTATTATTATGACACTTGTCCAACTATATTTTTTCCCCCTATACTCACCACTTGTCCTGGCCTCAGGTCCCTTGAAATGACATGATAGAGTTATGGGATTAAAGTAAACAACAACAGTTTTTTTTAAAAAAAAAAAAAAAAAGGGACCAACTAACAATGTCTGAATATTAATTCTATCAACAAAAATTTAAAATAATAAATTAGGCTGAATATTATTGAAGTTGAGGGTATAGAGTTATTTCATTAGTTTTATATGCAAAACATAGATGGAATTCTGGAAAGGAAACGGTAACAGAAATACCTAATGCCAAATTAAAACCGCAAAGTGTTTTTTTTTTTTCCCAAAAGAATACCATAAGGACCTCGAAAAATTTTATAATACAATCATTACATCATTATTAATCCTTGATAGCAATCCTACACCTACCTACATTAGTGTCATTTTCCTTACAAATCTTTATCAATTCGAAGCTCTATATATATATATATATATATATATATTATTCACCAAGAAGTTAATAACGACGTTCAAAGTTCAACCCTCATAGTAAATGAATTTTCTCCTTATTATTGAAAACTTATAAAAGTGAATTGCTTCAAGTATTACACCAACGAGTTTTAAACTTTTTCAACAAAAAACCATATTAAGCAGTATCTCTCTTATTCCAAGCTCATATAAATTTCTTCAAGTGTTTAATATATTCTTACATTTCTAATTTTGTCAATTATCTCTTTGTATAAATCAAATTCTTCATTGTAATTTTTTTTATCATTTTTTTCCATTTAATTTGATAAAATTGTATTTTTTTAATTTCGAAAATATCCTTAAGCTATACGAGAATATAATTTTATTTTTTCAAAAAAAAAATAATAGTCGAGTAATTTTGATTTTTTTAAAAAAATATTTTAACATTTTTAGCAATTTTTCATTATATCTTTATATAACTCAAGAACATTTTAATTTTATGCGAAAAATATAATTCGGATGAAAAAACTTAAGAGAATGACATATCGAATAACTAGATATTATGCATTATACAAGAATATAATAAATATAATAAAAATATAAGAAAATATGAAGAGCTTGTACTATATACAATTACATATTGATCCATTTACTCATAATTCTGGCAATGGTGATTTTGCGTTGCATTCTCCTCACTGCAAATCAGAGTAACAAAATTGACTTATAATTTCCGAGACATGCGCCATGCATGCATGCTGGATATATAAAAATTGCTAACGACGTGCATTAGCTATAATATTCGCTAAATAATTAATGCGCCTATTTTCCTCCATTTTGCCAAACTTTCACCGATAATATTCCATTGAGTTCGAGTTTCCCTTTTTCCTCTTCTTAACTCTATTTTTTTATTACAATTTTCTGAGTAAATTATAAATTAGTCCCTTTATTTTTAAGAAATAAAATAATCAATTCTCTTTATTTTAAAAATTAATTAGGTAGTCATTTAATTATTATTGATCATATTTAATTTAATATTATTTTATTTTTCATCAATTTTTTATATTTTTTTATTTCTTATGACAGAAAATAAATAAATTAAAAAGAGTGAAAAAATTAAATTACAAGAAAATTTAAAATTATAGAGATTAAATAATTATTTTTAGAAAAAATTAATTTATTTATTTTTCAAAACTCAAGGGATCAATTTATAATTTTCTCAGATTCTGTTCATAAAGTATATTTAGTGCAGGGCACGTAGCCACGTAGGTGTTTAAAGCAGCAAAGGAAAGCAAGTGGACAATGGTTTTATGGTCATCTGCCAAAGAAGCCGGTTTTCCAGATAGAGAGAGAGAGTCAGTTGAGAGACATGCATATTCATCTTTTTCTCCGGTTTTTGCAACTGTTGTCCGGTTTATATTGCATTTTTTTTTTTTTGTCCTAAATAAATTACATCCCTTTCCTAAAATATTTCTTTTCAAAACTATGAAAAAAAAATGCAAAATGACTTGGAGGTAAAGTAAAAAAATTGTTAAAATTGTATGAAAATTTTATTTTTGGAGTTTGTTTCGGATTTTGAGAAATTTATATAAAATAGATAGGGTTTAAAAATGGTTATGATAATGGCTACAATGTTAGAAGTAATATAATTAAAGAAAATGTTTTTTTGTTTTAGAATGATGATATTAAATAACAACTAAGAATTATGAGGGTGCATTTGTGTTGTGGAAATATTTATTTTCTTGGTAAACATTATCTTAAAGAATGAGTTATTTATTGTTGTTCGGGTGCGATAAGGAAAATATTTTTCTTAAAAATAAATCATGTTCCATTCATTGTTATAGAGTGATGATAATGAGAAAAAAATTATGATGTTGGAGATAATAAGAATGACGGTAGGGGTGGTGGTAATGATTTTTGTATTGATGGTGGTTGTTGTGATAGTAATAGAGTGATGATGGTGGTAACGGGAATAAAAAGTGATTGTTATGGTTGATATATTGGTAACAAAATAATGATGGTGATTATAATGATAACTGTAGTGGTATAATGGCGGTGATGAAAATGAT